TCCCAATAAAAATCCCAGCAAGTTACTCTGTAGGTATTGACAAATTGATTCTAAAGCTTGTATGAAAAGTCCAGAGACCCAGAGTAGCCTACTCAGTATTGCAGAAGAACAAGGTTTGAGCACTGATTTCAAGTTGGAGTCACTACCTGACTTCAAGACTTACTGTAAAACTACAGTAATCAAGAAATTATGGTATTGGTGAAAGAATAAACAAACGGATCAGTGGAAGAGAAGAGGCCAGAAGTGGACCCACACAAATACGGGCACCTGGTATTTGACAAAGGAGCAAAGGTAATTCAGTAGAGAAAGGACAGTCTTGAAGACAAATGGTACTGGAGCATCTGGGCATTCACATGCAAGAAAATGAATCTAAACACAAAATTTAACTCAGAATGGGTCCTAAATCTAAATGTAAGATGAAAAACTGTAAAGCTTGTAGAAGAGAACATAGGAGAAAATCTCAATGACCTTGGATTGGGCAGTGAGTTTTTTGATACGACACCAAAAGCACAATCCAAGAAAAAAATTAATTGATAAGTTTGACTATTAAAATTAGTAACTTATACTGCACAAAAGACACTGCTAAGAGAATGAAAAGACACAGACTGGGAGAAAAAATCTTTGAAAAATATGTGTCTAATAAAGGTCTTATATCCAAAATATACAAAAAAAAAACTTTGAAAGACTCAACAATGAGAAAATAAACAACCCAATTTAGAAAAGACAGAAGCTCTGAACAAACACCTCACCAGAAAGTAGATAGCAAAGTAGATGGCAAATAATCATATGAAAAGATGTCAAAAACATGTAATTAAGAAATTGCAAATTAAACGATGAAATGCCACTACACCCTATTAGAATGCCTAAAATCTAAAACACTGAAAACAACAAGTGCTGATGAGTGCGTGGAGCTACAGAAATGCTCATTCGTTGCTGCTGGGAATGTAAAATGACTCAACCATCTTAGAAGACAGTTTGGCCATTTCGTATAAAGCTAAACATACTCTCACCATATGGTCCAGCAACTGTGCTCTTTGGTATTTACCCAAATGAGTTGAAAACTTATGTCTGCAGAGAAACCTGTGCACCAAGCTTTATTCATAATGGTTAAAGCTTGGAAGCAATCAAGATGTCCTGCAGTAGGTGAATAGATAACTGTGGTACATCTATATAGTGGAATATTATTCAGCAGTACAAAGATATGAGCTATCAAGCTACGAAATGACGTGAAGGAGCTTTTAATGCATATTGCTGAGTGAAAGAATTCAATCTAGAAAGGGTACTTACTGTATGATCCCAACTCAGTGGCGTTCTGGAAATAGCAAAACTGTAGAGACAGTTAAGAGTGACAGCAGTCAGAATAAGTAGGTGGAGCACAAGGGACACTTAGGGCTGTGAAANTTAAGAGTGACAGCAGTCAGAATAAGTAGGTGGAGCACAAGGGACACTTAGGGCTGTGAAACTATTCTGTGTGTTACTGTAGTGGTGGGCACCAACACATAGAATATGCAGCACAGAGAGTGAACCCTGATGGAAACTATGGACTTTAGTTAATACTAATGTATCACATCACTTGTATGTGCCACACTAATGCAAGATGTTAATCATAGGTTAAACTGGGGCAGTGCTTGAGGGAGTATGTGGAAACTCTTATTTTCTGCTCAATTTTTAAGCAGAACCTAAACCTAAACTTATATAAAAAAAAAAA